TCTCCTCATACTGATTTTGGTACATGTGCCCTCAGGCATGGCTGAATAGAAATTAGCTATGGTGCTTTGTCCTTGGAGTAAGTATAATTGGTTCTCATTCTTGAGAAAGCCTCTTGGGGTCCTCTTTTGTCCTGCCCTTTGATGGTCAGATAGAACAATAGTGTTTCTTTGCCAGTGGTACCAGGAATCCTCTTTCCTCAGGAACGTCCAGATAGGAGCCGGGTCAGCAAGGGCTGGTTGGGCCCATTTTTGTGTGTGTGTATGTGTGTGTGTGAGGGGAAAGACAGGCAGTCCCCAGGAATGGTGGTAGGGGCTTTTTGTTCTTCTGCAGCCACTAGGGATGGGATTTCCCTTTCTAAGGACAAAACTAATCATTTGGTCTGAGTTTCAAAAGTAGTTTCTTTTGTGAAGATTCTGGCCATGTTCTAGGTCTTGAATTTTGGGGAGGAGGAAACCAAGTGGTTGTGTCTAGACTCAGATAGCCCTGTCCATATCACTGGTAGAGCCTGGGTCTCTTTGTCACTTGTCTTACACAAAGAACTGTCCTATGGGGTGACATTTGGGGCTATTCTAGACTCTCAGGCAGTTTCCTCTTTGCTTCCTGCAGAGCACATGAAACTCATGTGGTCTTGCTATGAGGGTTAAAAACAGCCTTCCTCTTATGCCTGCTTCATATCTTGTGTGTTTTTCTCTAGTCCGGAAAATGATGACTCATCACCATTTACCCTGCGTTTTGTGCCTCCCATGGCAGTATGCTCTTTCCTTCCTAAGTGGACTCAGCTAGTGCCTGAGTCTGCCCAGGTTAGAGTGCCTGCTGCAGGCAGAGTGTGATGCTCTGATGTTGCTCATGTAGATGTAAGAAAATGAGTGTAGAGGGAGGAATATTTGTTTCCCTTTCCTGACTGTCATTGTGGATGGTGGTTCTCTTTGTCGGGTCTGCACATACCTGTACTGAGTGGGTTGCCCAGCTGTTGGTCTTTGGTATGTGCACCTTGGTGTTACCAGGACTCAGTGGGATTGTCCTACTTGCATGCTTCTGTTAGTGCTGCCCTTGTTCTCAGAATATAACTCAGATTTCAGTTGAATGCATGGATGGGACTGTCTGGGAAACCTGCCCACTTGAGGACTTGGCTGTTAGTAATTAAATCAGCACGCACTTTTAAAAATCCTTAATCCATGGTAGGCATTTGGCCAGATGCTGAAATGCAGAAATGAGTAGAACTGCTCATGAAGTTTGGGATCTGATGGCAAGAGGCAGGAGAACAGTTGTAAAATCCCATCATTTTAGGTGGGGTGTGGCAGAAGAACATAGAAAGAGCTTTAGAGCTTCATGAAGGGGCTGGGAAGGGGGCCACTGTGTAGAGGAAGGAGGTGGCAGGTGGGAGCTCCCTGTGCCAGAAATTGCTGGAGCCCAAAGCCCCTGATGACCTTGCTGGGCAGGAGCTCCTTGCTCCCTACAGTGGCCCCAGTTAAGTTGCATGTTGCAAGGTAGGGAAGGCAGAGATGATGGGAGGGCCTTTGTGCCTGCTTAGTTGGGGAATTTGGGCTCAGTCTGTGCATAGAAAGCATGTGACTTGGAGGCAGGCCACCTACTTTAGGCCAGCTTCCAAAGTTCACCCTACAGCCTTGTCTCAAAAGCATGTGCCTTGTTTGTGCAACCTCCTTCTTGTTGGGGCACTGGCAGAAGGCAGAAGGCCGGGAGTGTGGCCTCTGGTTTTATGGCATTGGTAGCACCATGTGGAAGGGCTCAAGGACCAGGTGGCCTTAGCCCTTTGCAGAAGTTGGTCCTAGAGTATTGCTTTGTTAGGATTACTATTGCTGAGACAAAACACCGAGACCAAAAAAACAAGTTGAAGAGGAAAGGGTTTATTTGGCTTACACTTCCATATTGCTGTTAAAAAGTCAGGACAAGAACTCAAACAGGCAAGAACCTATAGGCAGGAGCTGATGCAGAGACCATGAAGGGATTTTGTTTCTGGCCTGCTCCCCTGGCTTGTTTTCTTATGGAACCCAGGACCACCAGCACTGGGATTAAACCGCCCATCATGAGCTGGACCCTCCCCTGTCAATCACTGTAAGAAAATGCCTTACAGCTAGATCTTATTAAGGCGTTTTTCTTAATTAAGAGTCTCTCCTTTTAGATAGCTCTAGTTTGTATGTCAGGTTGACATAGACTAGCCAGTACAAGCACATTGCAAGCCAGAGCATTCTTTCCCTTTTAGGCTTATTTCCTCAAAGATTGACACTCTGTTTCTGAGGCTTAATGAATTACCAGAGGCCTCAGAGTTCATCTGGCCTTACCTGGAAGAGGCCCAGGGAACACCGTGGCTCTGGGCTCACAGCCCTAGTTTTTCCCCCAGTTCTTGACTAGGTTTGGAGGAGGGTCCTTGGAATTAATTTATGAATGTGATGCCACTGTCTGAATGAGGTGGTTTCTCACCTCAGACAGCACTAGGCACCTTATGTTTTTGCCCAGGCACTGACTGCTGTGCACTCTAGGAACAGAATCTATTGTTAACAGTTGAATTGCATCTCCTTACAGGCACTTTGGCCAGATGTGGCTAGAAAACAAGGAAATGTGTCTATAGAGGACCTGTGAGGTCAGGTGTCCATCTTCACCACACCTGGCTTCACCACATCTCCTCCTTTCTTTTGTCTTCAGACCAGCCTGTAGTATAGTATTTTTATGGTTCACTTGCTAGGGAGCCAGGAAGTTCAGGCTCAGAAAGGGTAAGCACCTCTCTTGAGGTCATCTCAGCTGGTAAGTGGCAAAGCCAGAATTTCAGCTGCGCCTGTAAAGATTTCCTCTTCTGACCAATGCCTTGTGCCAGTTTGATCTGTCAGAGGCTGATGGTGTTTTGATATATAGTAACCTTTGCCTTTCAAAGATTAGCTCTTAACTATATGATAAGAAAGAAACATATTGTAGTCTTTCTTTAATTAAAAAGAGTACAACTTCCAAATTTGTGTGTATTTGCAAATACTTGTATCTTTTTTGTGATTCTTGTTTCTTAACAGAACAATTGGTTAAGTTTTCCCACAGGATGGAACACAGAGATGGTGTGTGATATCCTTGAGGGGCACATGGATGCTGGACTCAGGGTGAACATCAGGGCAGTGTGAACCACGAAAATTAAAATGTGTCAACACCTGCTGAAGGGAGGCCCAGATCCTTGAGAAAGAACTGAGTTGTCTGTAACTTTAAAAACTTTTTTCAACCTTACATAATTTTGTTTCCATACAAACTTAAATTTGCCTATGTTTTTCTTCTGGTGTGGTACCCTGTGGTTCTAACTTGTAAGAAAAATAGGTTATCAGTCAGTACAACTCTTGAGTTAAATGAACCTTACTTGCATGATCATAGTTTTCTGTGGCTCAGTCTATTTCTGAATTCTGCCTTTCCATTCACTCCCTCCTGTTTCTATTTTTTCTCTTTGCTGCACTGGCTGACCAGCTCTTTCAGTTTCTGGGAGGGGGGATTATTTCCCTCCCCCCTTTTTGCTTTTAATCACTTTGCTTCTGCTGCACTTAAGGAGACTGGCTTCCTGAGAGCTGCAGGAGCCTTCTTGTAGAAGCTAGGCTAACCCCTAGCAGGTGAACTGCTGTGCCTGCTGAGCCTCGGGGCCCTCAGCCACATTTTGTTTAAAGATAGCAGCTGTTCTTCCAGGGCCAAGTGCCCGCCCATTCATCTCTTTCCTTCGTACCTAATTTCCCCAAGGTTGTCTGTAGTGGAGCTGGGGTTACAGTTCAGGAGTGGCTGGAGTCTGGAGTTCTCGCCCTTATGTTCTACTGTGGTCAGGTTATGGTGTGCCATCTAATCTCTTTAGCTTTGACATTTTAAAAGAAAACAAGAAGTAACCTTTCACTGGGGAAAGTTGACAGTGTGCTTACGGGCTGTGTTCCTCAGACTGGATTTTTTTCCAGGCTTGTGCTTGCCTCTTTGGCCAGAGAACCCTGGGCATGTCTTTGAGGTGTGTATGGCCAGTGTTTTAGACTCTTCTCTCAAGTGCTGGCTGTTGTTGTTCTTCTATTATTAGCATATCTCCACTGAACTAGCCTCCTGTCCTGGGTTTAAGGAGCCTATTCCAAGCCATTTAAAACTAGATGTGGTCTTTCCTCTGACCCCAAATCCTGTTTCTCTAGCTAAGTCTGATCTTGGACTATTCTGAGTGCTTGGCTTCTGTTGTGAAAGAAAAGCATGCCCTGTCTTGGACTTGAGTGAGCATGGTAGTGCTGGGGAAGTATATGCTTGGGCAGTCTTACTGCAGATGGCGTGCTTGTGGGTTGGCAATTTTCTTTCTTTCTTTTCTTTTCTTTTCTTTTCTTTTCTTTTCTTTTCTTTTCTTT